GCCCCCGCACTCCAGCCTGGATGACAGAGTGAGACTCCAACTCAAAAAACAAAAAACAAAAAACAACAAAAAAAGAAAATTTAAGCTGTCCTCATCCTAATATTTACAGAATACAGAGGCAAAGAGGAGAATGGAATCTGACTCATTTTTACATTAATCTAAAGTGAAGCAGGAACTGTAACTCCAATTTATTGACACCCTGTCCTGTGATTGCACCACTGTTACAAAAGTAAAGATCTGACAGCATTCCCTACTGTCCCCTCCTTCAGATCTGGTCTTACCAGAACGCTTGGTAGCCATCGGCGTAACATTAGTCCAGTGTCCTGTATGGGGATCATATTTCTCAACTGAATTTAAGATATTCAGGCCATCATATCCTCCTGAAAGACAAAGTAAAGACCATGCCAGAAAGAGTGGAAAATCCTCATGCCCATTCCCAGCCTTTTGATTGCTTCAACTAATTCTTTTAGTTCTAATTCTCCCAATAGAATAAGACTTCCAATAACCCTAAGAGAAATCTGACAGTACCCTACTTTCTGCTTACAAGATAAAGATAATCCAAATTAATGGACAATATATTGAGACAGACAAGGGTTGGTTTTTTGAGTTGGAGTCTCACTCTGTCGCCCAGACTGGAGTGCAGTAGCATGCTCCCGACCACCGCAGCCTCAACCTACTGGGCTCCAGTGATCCTTCCGCCTCAGCCTTCCAAGTAGCTGGAACTACAGGCGCGCACTACCACGCCCAGCTACAGACAAGGGTTTTAGTTGATCCCCACGCAGAGCCTACTAACCATTGAGCTCTCTCCCATTCCTGCATCCCAGACTCAATACCTAGACAGTAGATCACTCCGCTGGCTACTACTAGTCCAGCACCTTCCCGTGCTGTCTGCATATCTCCCAGCATGCTCCACTGGTCAATGTTTGGGTCATATCGCTCCATGCTGGTATGACGCCTGCTTCCATCAAAGCCTCCAGAGACATAGATCATATCTGCTCAGAATGAACAAATCACAGACTATTAGAGAATGAGTTTTTTTTTTAATGAGTTGAGGTTTCAAGCTGTCACCCAGGCTGGAGTGCAGTAGCACAATCACAGCTCACTGCAGCCTCAAACTCCTGGGCTTAAGCAATCCTCTCTCCTCAACCTCTCAAGTAGCTGGGACTACAGGCACATGCCATTAACACTTGGCTAATTTTTTGACTTTTTGTAGAGACAGGGGTCTTGCTATGTTGCCCAGGCTGGTCTCAAGCAATCCTTCTGCCTTGGTGTCCCAAAGTACTAGGATTACAGGCATGAGCCACCAGGCCCAACAAGAATGAGACATTTCTAAGAACTGTTTTCTCTACAAATTCTTTATAGGACTTTAAAAAAAAAATCTGGGAGCAAAAGCCAAGTATTTTTTAAATGTGATAAGTCCATTAAGTCTTATAGATAAGGAAGAAAGCATGGTCAAGACATCAAAAAAGAACGGGGCAAGATGTCTTTAAAAGCATTAAAAAAGCAACATGGGCCAGGCACAGTGGCTCAAACCTATAATCCCAGCACTTTGGGAGGTCAAGGCAAGAGGACTGCCTGAGACCAGGGGTTTGAGACCAGCCTGGGCAACTTGGTGCAAACTCGTCTCTACAATAAATCAAAAATAAAATTAGCAGGGCATGGTGGCATGTGCCTGTAGTTCCAGCTACTTGGAAGGCTGAAGGGGAAGGATCACCCGAGCCCAGGAGGTTGAGGCTACGGTGGCCATGAGTGTGACAGTGCACTCCAGCCTGGGCGACAGAGTGAGACTCCATCTCAAAAACAAAAACAAAAAAACAACAACACATGGGCTGAGTGTGGTGGCTCACATCTGTAATCCCAGCACTTTGGGAGGCCGAGGCAAGAGGACCACCTGAGCCCAGGAGTTCAAGACCAGCCTGGACAACACGGGAAGACCGTGTGTTTACAATAAGTCAAAAAAAAAAAATTAGCTGGGCATGGTGGTGTGCACCTGTAGTTCCAGGTGGAAGGCTGAGGCAGAAGGACAGCCTGAGCCTAGCAGGATGAGGCTGCAGTGAGCCATGACCATGCACTGTACTCTAGCCTTGTCAACAGAGTGACATACTGATTCAAAAAAAAAAAAAACCCGAAAAACAAAAAAATTCATGGGAGTTTGCAAAAATAAAACTAGTGCCAATATCTCACCCAGCAGCTTGAAACTTGATTTACCAACTTTGTAGCCAGTATTGAAATACACATGAATATTGAACAGCTTCTGTGACACTGATACTTCCAAAAGCAAAAAGGAATATTTGACCTTACTGGTTTATTCTCCATATTTCATGCTCCTGCTAGACAACAGGAGAGGTAAACACCCTGATCAAGCCACAACAAGATGGAAATTTTGCCCTGCACACCAAGCCTACCTCCCAGGGTGGTGGCTCCAGCAAGGCCTCGTCGAACATTCATAGGGGCCACAGAATACCAGACCCCATCCTCGTCTGCTGTGTAGTCTAGACATTCCACTGAACTGAGGCGGGAACGGCCATCATAGCCACCAATTACGTAGATCCGGTCATGTAGGGACACGGAAGCTACATAACGTCTCTTACGAGTGATGCTCTGTGGGTTTAGGAAAGAAGAGGCATAGAGCTTTTCAGTTAGACAAATTTGGGGCCTTACCTTTTGCTATCCTTTCTGTTTTCATCTACACACCTCTGTGAACCCCACTTGAGTGATACATCCTCAAGCGGCCTCAGGGGCTGCCTCCTGAGTGAAATGCTTGTTGTAGTGCTATTAAAGATGCAAGCCTTCTGCACATTTGCCTCTTTCCAAGGCTTCCAAAAGATTTAATGGCTTTCTATTACCCAGTATCTGGCTTCCTTTCCATAAGGTACTGGGGCTAAGAGACTGATATCCTTCCATAAAGCGGAAAAGTATTCCCATATTCCTAATCAAAAGAATTCAAAGATCTTAAAAGGTACTAAAATTGGTTTCCGTGTTTTCTCAGAAATTATTATTGTTCATGCAGCAGTGACATGGAGACATAATGAGGGAGAAAGAGAGAAACTTCTGAGTTCAATCGAACACTAGTTCAATTTAAATTGAGTTCAGTTTAACATAGCATGACTGATGAAGCAAGCTAGGAATTATACAGAAAGGCTTAGAAAGGCACCTAACTAGTGGTGGCCAGCTGAGTTGAATTTCACACAGGGCCACTGACATTTTTAAAGTTGAATCTAAACAATCAAAAACTTTTCACTGGCTGGGCACGGTGGCTCAAGCCTATAATCCCAGCACTTTAGGAGGCCGAGGCAAAAGGACTGCCTGAGCCCGTAGGTTCGAGACCAGCCTAGACAACACGGTGAGCCCTTGTCTCTACAGTAAATCAAAAAATTAGCTGGGCATGGTAACGCATGCCTGTAGTTCCAGCTACTTGGAAGGCTGAGACAAAAGGATCACCTGAGCCCAGCAAGTCAAGGCTGCGGTGGCCAGGAGTGTGTCACTGCACTCCAGCCTGGGAGTGAGACTCCAACAACAACAACAAAAAAACAAAAAGCAACTTTTCACTGAGTACCTACTGTATACACAACACTAATGTGAGAAACATGTCATTAGTAGGCTTTTCTACTTGCAGGGCTGGATTAGTTATGACCTAGCATCAGGGACAGAGGACATTTAAGCTCCCTCCAATGAATGGTTCCATCAATATTTACTGTCAAAAAGCTCCACTCCTGAGTCTTGGGGTCATATTTCTCTACCACGTCGATGGGAGACTGCTGGCTTCCAAAGCCCCCAACCACCAGAAGCACTTCGTTAGCTCCTGAAGACAAAGGTGAAAAAAGACATAGGTTACTTTACCATCCCTGGCTGGGTAACTACTCATAGGGAAGTGTAAGCAGAAACAGTTCTAGGGTATCTTGTTTTATGAGGCCAAGATGCCATCTGAAATAGAAGATACATCATTAGGCTGCCTAACAGGAAGTTATTTCTTCTTGAGGTTCTAGCTCTTGAGTCTCAAAGTCACATTTCTGGACAACATTAAAACTCCAGAAGGCAAACTTGAACCCTGCATCATTTCACCTGTCTAGAGAACTTTGGTTGACAGAGGTCTTCAGTACAGGTGGGAGCCTAAAGGCACTCTGTACTGCTCAATCTAGAAACTCACACACGAGTTTTTTTTGTTCTGGGGAAAGAACTCTCTCTTACCTTGTCACAAAAATGTTGAGTGTTGAGGCTTTGGAACCAAGTGATAGATTTCTAAAAATCTCTTTTCCATAAACATTTACTTTTCCAATTTAGCCAAATCTATGATCACATTCCCTGCTCGTTCATTACCACTAGGTGATGAATTTGTTCACTACCAGGTAACAAAACACTGGGGTTTTATTTATTTATTTATTTATTTATTTTTATAATCAATATTTTTTATTATGATATTGTGGGGTACAGTTAAGGGTAGTACTGGGTTTTAAAGGAAAGTCTTTTTCTCTATTTCCCCAAAGAAGCTAGCTATTTTGACAGCCTTTATAGCCTCCCCTTTCCTCTATGGTCTTATTTTGATAAAATGTTTCCTACCTTGGCTCTTTTCAAAAAGCAAAGTCTCTCTGAGCAAATCTCCTGTGCATCTGCTCTAATAGAACTCATAAAGAGAAGAATTCGCTGGAGCTTTGGACAATTCAATCACTAGGAAGGCACTAAGGAGACCAAAATAATCCTATAAGTAACCTGGACTTGAAAGAGCAACCATAGCACCTTGAAGTTAACAGGAAACACAGGTAAACCCCTAATGAAGTAAGGGATCTGACAGTTATCATCAATGGCTGCTGTAATCATTAGATGAAAAGTTACTTACATTACTATCAGACATTTTCTGCTCCCTGATGTGATAAATAGGAAAGATAACACTACCACCGAGGAAGTACTTTTTCCAAAAAATTGAGCCTGAATCTTATCAAGTCTCTATTCCAACCACCGGTTTACAGAAAAATAGCAGACAGAACATATTACATGACACTCCCAAGATGTAATCAGCAAAATCCAGAATGTGGGAAATCCTATAGCTTGATGTCTTCAACAAATAAATTTGCAATGGAAACCTCTGGATGAAAAGAGGTCAGGTGCAGTGGCTCAGGCCTATAATCCCACCACTCTGGGAGGCCAAGCAGAAGGATTGCTTGAACCCAGGAGTTTGAGACCAGCCTAGGCAACATAGCATGGCCTTGTTGCTACAAAAAACAAACAAACAAAAATAGCGGGGCATAGTGGTGTGCACCTGTAGTCTCAGCTGAGGCAGAAGGAGCACCTGAGCCCAGGCAGTTAAGGCAGAAGGAACACCTGAGCCCAGGAGGTTGAAGCTGCAGTGAACTGTGATCTTCACTCCAGCCTGGGTGACAGAATGAAACCCTGACTCAAAAATAAAATAAAAAAGAAAAGCAACACAGTCCACAGCCTGGGCACTCAACTACTGCGTGTCACTGCCAAAACCACTGTACTTTCTACCATATTGGCTCCTTTTCTTCCTTTTTCATTCCAGAATGGAAAAAACACACAAGGGGAGAGGTGGGAAGGAGTGTGCCTCTTACTACATGGCACTTAAAAATAATCTCTAATTCACAGGATCTAAATATATTGAAAAAAATTATAACATATTACGTTAACACTTGACAATTAATAAGGTGCTTTCACATCTTAACTCATCTAATGTCCAAATAATTATGTGAGGTAGACAGGGAAGCTGTCCTTGGTTTAGAGAAAAGACAGCTCAGAGTGGTAAAGTGACTTGTCTGAGGTGATACAATAAAAGATCTGAAACATGGTCCCTCTTTACTTCTTCCAGAATGTTACTTTCAACTACATTATGTCACTTTCAAGAAGTAACTGAAAAATATCCCCTCATTCTGCCAAGATGCCATCTTACCTAGGCGAGCCCTTGTCCTGGGTCCCTGCATCTGACTCCGAAGTTCAGGCCTCAGATGAAACTTCTTTGCTTCATCAACCAGATCCCTGCACTGTAAACTACAGCGGATAAAAGGCTGAAATACAGCAGATAGTAGAGTAAGCCACAGAGCCTTCCTCTAATACTGTAAGAGTATAAACGGCACATATAAAGAATTAACATAGAAAACCGATTTCCAAAGCCCTGTGATTCCAGGAGTATTGCTGGCAATAACTATGCTCTAGGTTTCCAGAAGCAATTTAAAAAATTTATTTTAGGCTGGCCACAGTGGCTCATGCCTGTAATTCCAGCACTTTGGGAGGTGGAAGCAAGAGGATTGCCTGAGCCCACGGGTTTGAGACCAGCCTGGGCAACTTGAGGAGAACTTGTCTATAAAATCAATCAATCAGTTGGGCATGGTGGTGCATGCCTGTAGTTCCAGCTTCTTGGAAGGCTGAAGCAGAAGGATTGCCTGAGCCCAGCAGGTCAAGGCTGCAGTGGCCGTGGTGAGCACGTCACTGCACTCCAGCCTGGGCGACAGAGTGAGACTCTAACTCAAAATAAAAATTATTTTAAAATTTTATTTTAAAAATAGGTAATACATTACACAGATAACAGATCAAATGATATAAAAACACATATTGAGAAACATTCCCCATCTAACTTGGCACTTACAAGTAGCTACTTTTATTACTTTGTACATCCTTCCTGGGATTATGCAAATATAAGTACATAATAACTAATAAGAATTTTAAGGGAAAACCAAAAAGCTTCTGGTATTTTCTGGGGTGACAGAAAGAAGTATATCTTGTCTAAAACAATTCCCTAAGGTTCACAGCACTGCCATAATCCCCATGTTTATTTCTGATAGCTCTGTACCAGACATCTTTCATTTGCCCCAATTCACTCTGTACTTTTCTCTACTGTGCTCTAGCCTCAGAAGACTGGCCTACATAAACTATGTCAACAGGGTTCCCATGCCCTCTGGACTCTGGCACAGATCAGCCCAACCAAAAATCAAGGTTCCTCTTCAGGTAGTGACTCTACCTGACTCTTTCCTTTCAGGTTCTGTCTGGTAACCACTCCTCGATCTTGCCCCCTAAGGAGTTGTTCACTGCTTGGGTGTACTACATCCAGGTTATTTCACTGCCTTTTGTTGTTTCTCTATGTTCACACCTTTGTAAACAGCCTTTAATAAATAAACCCTCCTCAAATTGTCCTATTTTGATCATGTTTCCTACTGAGATTCTAATTGATACAAGTTCTAGTCACACAGTGCATCTATTAACCTGACCCAAGAAATTCAGTATAAACTAGAAAGAAAAATAAATAATAACAGTGGTAAATACGTAAATATAAGACATGATTCTAAAAGTTTTTAACTTATTTAATACTGACAATAACCTATGAGGTAGATATTATTATCATCTATGTTTTACAGATAAAAAACCTGAGGCATGAGCTGGGTGTGGTGGCTCATGCCTCTAATCCCAGCACTTTGGGAGGTGGAGGCAGGAAGACTGCCTGAGTCCAGGGGTGAGACCAGCCTGGGTAACTTGGTGAGACCTCATCTCTACAATAAATCAAGAAAACTTAGCCAGGTTTAGTGGCTCACAACTGTATTTCCAGCTACTTGGAAGGTTGAGGCAGAAGGATCGCCTGAGCCCAGCAGGTCAAGGCTGCAGTGGCTGTCAGCATGCCACTGCACTCCAGCCTAGGTGACAGAGTGAAATTAGACTCAAAAAAAAAAAAAGAAAAAGTAAAAAAAATCTGAGGCATAATGTATGAAGTTAGCTGCTTAAAGTTCACATAGTCAATGGTGAATTTGGGACTTCAATTCCCTGAGTATGGCTCCAGAGTCTGTGCTCCTAACCACAGTGTAAAGAACTAGACACAAGGTATATGTGAAAGGGTTATAAGAAGAAATTGCAAATAGGAGAAAGTTTGAGATGTGACACTAACCATCCTGCAACTTTTCTAATGGAAAAACTGTGTCCGTGTTAACGTCCAAAGAGATCTAGGGCTGGGTAAGCAGGAGGAACTCATTCACTGACTTGGGCCTTACCTACATGTTATAAGTCAGTGATCCCCAAAGTACGATCCATGTAACATAGTGGTATATGTGGTAAAAATAATGAAACGTCACAAAGAACCTAAGTTGGAGAAAACAGTTTTATAAATAAACTCAACATGATATGACCAAAGTTGACACAAAAATGTACCAAACTACTTTCACACTGCCTTCAGAGGTCAAAATAAAGTGGCTTGCTAAGCAAAGCATCTTTGCCTATTTTTCAGGACAAGCTGGAACAATTTATGTTTAATGGAAAAGGGGACAAAGCTTATCATCTGATGTTTATATAAAACACTTAAGGGCACGTAAAACAAAAAGACAACAAAACTCAAAACTAAACCACAGATTTTCATTTGTCAGGAGCCTGACTTGTCAAGCAATTAACTTTTCCTAGAAATATGCCTGGGGACTTCCCAGCACCACTGTCTCTGGCATTCCTGGAGAGGTGAACCAGGAGACTCTGTACCTACATTAAAATAATCACTTTGGAGCACACGATAGTAAACTACAAGAGCTAAGCAAAGTTTTGGATCCTGAATGTTTCACATGACTTACCTCAGCATCTATGACATCTGTGATATATCTGGGAGTCAACAGGGGCATCCGCACATACTGCAACAGGTCAGGCAAGGATTCTTCTCGTTCCTTCTTGGCATGCTTCACCCAGTTGATGACAGCCTCAAAGACCGGCTCTTCGGAATCCACCTGGCAATGCATCATTACACATCATGGATGTGTTTTTCCAACTAGCTCACAATCTCAAAAAATAGCCATGCTTACTTTCTCCCTCCTGTTCCCCATTACTCACCACCATGACATCCCATCTTCCAGAAATAGCTATGTTCTTGGGAAAACAATTTTTTTTAGATATAGTTAACTTAGACCAGGAAAAGAATTATAATTAACGTGGGCATATAAAATCTAAGCTAGATAGTATCTAATATTTTATTAGTCACAGGTTGGGTTTCACTTCAGAATTTTTCCCATTCAGAATTTTTTTTCATTTCTGCACTTTTAGGGAGAATGGGTAGGGAAATTTCTTGCCCCATTCAAAAGTGGCTCTTTAAATAACTTTTATCCATAATTGTTCTCTAAAGACCTCCAAGCTCATCTCCCAAATTGTCCACCCAAGCCCCTAAAGGAGAAGCTTCTCTTACATCATTATATGCAGTCTTATTTTTATTTTTTGAGTTGGAGTCTCACTCTATAGCCCAGGTTAAAGTGCAGTGGCACACTCATGGCCACCACAGCCTCTACCTGCTGGGCTCCGGCAATCCTTCCACCTTAGCCTTCCAAGTAGCTGGAACTACAGGTGCACGCTACCATACCCAACTAATTTTTTGATTTATTATAGAGACGAGGCCTCGCCAAGTTGCCCAATTCGAACTCCTGGACTTAAGCAATCCTCTCGCCTTGGCCTCCCAAAGTGCTGGGATTATAGGCTTGAGCCACCGCACCCATCCACATGAAGTCTTTAAAGGAATTATCAATTAGCATTTGAGCAACTACTATATATTAGGCATTGTGCTATCCAAGATGATGTATATAATTAATCGTCTGGGGAATGTAGGTCTAAGCTTACAAGCTTACATATGCCTGACTAGATAAGGTGAGGCACATGTTTTAAAAATCTACCTTACACCACTGGAAGGACACTAGGTATATAATAACACCTAGGACTACTCAAAGACAGATACCTAATTATAGGTCCTGTGGCCTTTCTACCAGTTCCTAGAATGTATGTGTTCTGAGAGATACCTTTCAGTGTTTCATTGTGACTAGATTAAAAAAAAAGAAAACCACCTGTGAACTTTTTCCAAGAACTGTAGTACTCCAAAAATGCAGAAAAAGTTCATTAATCTAACAGATTTACTGAACAACTCCTAAGTGCCAGACACTGTGCTGAAAGCTGGCTATATAATGGTGAACAAATCCAACAGGTTCCTTGCTCTCAAGTGGGGAGACAGATTGTTAAATGAGAAAAATGAACAATCCCACTATTATTAAATGCTATATAGGAAAGGTACTGAGGCTATGAGACAATAACACGAGATCTCCTAATTTAGACTGATAAGTCAGGGAAGGCCCCTCAGAAGCAGTAAATTAAACTCTGATGGATGAACAACAGTCAGCCAGGGAGAGTGAGTGAGTACTCCACGGCCGATATAAGAGCGCATGCAGAAGCAGCAGAGCTGCGGCAGCCACTAGCCACATGTGGCTATTTACATTTAAGTTAACTGAAATTAAATTAAGAATTCAGCTTTTCAGTTGTACTAGGCACATTTCAAGTGCTCAACAGCAACATGTGGCTAGTGGGAGCAAATCAGACAGCGCAAATATAGATCATTTCCATCTATACAGTGTTCTCTTGGATAGCACTGTCCTAGAGTAAACAAGAACTGGCAGCTTGAGGAAATGACAGAAGGCTACTGTAGTTGTAGAATGAGAAACAAAATGGTAGAGTGGTCAAAGATGATGCTGGAGAGGTAAACAAGGGCCCCAACCACAGAGGACATTAGAATACTGGACTTTAGGAACTGGAACTTGGCTGGGCACAGTGGCTCACACCTGTAATCCCAGCACTTTGGGAGGCGGAGGTAAGAGAATTAAATGAGCCCAGGGTTTGAGACCAATCTGGGCAACTTGGCGAGACCTTTGCCCTACAATAAATAAAAAAAATTAGCCGGGCATGGTAGTGTGCCTATAGTTCCAGCTATTTGGAAGGCTGAGGCAGAAGGATCTCCTGAGCCCAGCAGACTGTGACTGTGATGGCCATGAGCATGCCACTGCACTCCAGCCTGAGTGACAAAGTAAGACTCCCACTCAAAAAACAAACAAAAAAACCCCTGGAAGTTATTAAAAGGTTTCATGCAGACTAGTGATATGATCACACTGATGTTTTGTATGGATTACCATGGCTACCTTGGGTAGAACAGTTTAGAAGGGCCAAGAGTTAGAAGACCAGTTAGAGGTTACTCTGGTACATTAGGCAAAAGGTGAAGGTGCTTAAGCTATAGCTGTGGCAGTGATGAAAGAGAAATAGATGCACTGGAGAAATATTTGGGAGGTCAAACTAACCCAGGCTACTAATGGATTAGATGCAGGGGAGGATATAGAAGGGTATTCACAATTAAAAAAAAAAAGTTTTGTTAAACAATGACTGGCAAATAGTTTTAACCAGATGCATGCTAGACTCTGACACATTCTAGGTTTAAATACGATACACCAGTTTAAAGATGGTGGGGCTTTTTTGCATAATAGGGGAGATCATTAAAAAAAAAGATAGGCGGGGCTCAGTGGCTCAGCCTGTAATCCCAGCGCTTTGGGAGGCCGAGGTGAGTGGA